ATTTGGATGCTGGCGCCATCCCTCATTGTAGGTGTTACTGTATGGGTCGGTGCACCGGACATTGTTGATGAAGTTCACCTGCTCCTGGGGAGTGCTGGACTCACGCATGGCCTGGCAGTCCTCTTCAGTATGATGGGCGCTCTCACACCACTAGCAACGCATTAGCGGCTGCTGCCCACAGCATGTACACCCCGGCATGGTTTAGACAGAACCTGCACCAAATCAGAAGAATGGGTGCCCACAGCATGTACACCCCGGCCTGGTGCTCGCCTCGACCTCCTCTCAGTACCCAAATCATACCATTTCTCTGCCATCTCTTTAAAAATTTGATTCAGCTGCGGCGGTGTCTTGGTGAGCATATTCCCGCCGCAAACTGAGTCGATCAGCTGCTTGTCTTATGGGAAGAGGGCGTGGTAGAAGGTTTCCACCTTGAAAGCATCATTGAAACCATGATTGGGACACCTCAGGAAGAGACTGGTGTATCTCTCCCATGCGTCCTGGATGGTCTCATCTTCATCTTGGGCAAAGTGGATGATCTGTTTCTGCAAGTCCGCCGTTTTTGACGGAGGATGATAGTGGGTGAGGAACTTGTCCGCCAGGTTGGAGAACGTGGTGATTGATCTGGGAGGCCTAGTGTCCAACCACTCCTTGGCTTGCCCCTCCAGAGTAAATGGGAAGTACCTCAGCTGGATGGCATTGGCTGGGACCCCATTGATCTTGATCCCATCGATGAGCTCGTGGAATCGCCTCAGGTGTGATCGGGGGCACTGCCCCTCCTTGCCATGGAATACCACCGAGCCGCGCAGCATGGTGATGACAGAGGTACTTGATAGACCATTGATTGCACATGTTTTTACCCCTATTCTTGAGCCATTTGAAATATCGATTCTCGCGTTTTAGGCCGATTTCAAACTAGGTTGTTCTTGTTTGTGATATTTCAAGTCCTAGTATGTGAATGAAGGCTTAGGAACGAGTTCGGGGTCGATTGGACGAAGATTGGACGTTTGGCAAGAAGCTGAGGAAGCCATACAGGCACGCCTAAAAACCCACACGGCCGTGTGACCTGGCCGTGTGGCACCAAATTGCACGGGCAAGTTACACTAGCCGTGTAGGGGACCCTTTGTGGCCGTGTGGAAAGTCCAGGAAGCTCACACGGGCAGCCTGGAAGCTCACCTGAGTCTTCAAGTGTCTTTGATCGATCTCCATCACCATTGGAGCCCGGCTTGAGCTTGGAGAAGATCTGATTGAGTGCCAGAAGCAGATTATCATCCTTCACAGTATGGTTTCCGCATCTGAGCTAGATTTCTCATCTCTCTCTATGGAGTAACTTTCTTATTCACCTGGGTATGAAGAACCCTAGATTTGTGTGTTAGGTCTGATTGTATGAACCCAAGTAAAGATTCTATGATTTGATTATATTCAATTGAGATTTGAATTGTTGAATGGCATGAATCCTGATCAAATTCCTGTTGTTTCTGCTTTGACCTAGAATGAGAATATCTGCCTAGGTTAATAGAGCATCCTTGATTGAAGGTAGTGAGTTGACGACTTTAGTCGAGGATTCAATTCACTATTATGTACTGGATTCACTTCGGTAGTGGAGGTTTGGTTCGTTAGGGCCTCAATATGTTTACTCCGGTGGAGGTTAGTCGCCCGTTGGGGACTCAGATTGAGAGGGTCTGGAGACCTTTAGTCGAGACTTCAGACTGTATAAGAACCTCCCGCAGTATAACTATCATTGGAATTGAACTTGGTAAATTACAATCCGGCTTTACTGCAGTCTAGGGGGAACCATATCCTGGTGACCTCTCTCGACTTGAAAACAACCCTTTTACTTTCTTTGCTTGTTTGCTTGTTTGGACCTGCACTAAAGTTTTACCGCTAACTAATAAGAACTCACTGAGCAGTCAGCACATCTAGGACCCCGGTTGACATTAAAACCCAAACCCGCTATACTACGCTTTAGGTTGTGGTTGCACTTGGCCATTTTCTAGAGTGACGGTAGGAGCTAGTCAGTACTCACCTCAAAGTTGTTGGCAGCAACTTGAGGGTGTTGGACGGGAGACCTCATGTCTAGGGCACGGGCGGTCCAGTAATAGCCCATGGTTTGCTCCTCGAGAATGAGCACATCATTGTTCTGTGGGTCACCCATTTCTTCCTCCTCGGTGATGTGCAGTTGCTCCACAGCTTCCTCCGCAGCCAGTCGTGCCTTTAGAGCCCGCTTGAAGTTCCTACAGGTCCGTTCAACCTCTTGGTCTAATGGTAGTAGATCTCCCGACGGGCTACGGGTCATGCACTACCTGCGCACAATGGGAAGAATCTGCTCAGGGATGTCAATCTTCACTCCTAGGGATGCAATCTGGGCATCAATGGTGAGAAATCCACTCCAAATAGCTCCTAGGGTTTGTTCTTCGCACTTTATCTCTCTAAAACTCTGTTTTTGCTCCAAAAAGTCGATTCCATCTCCTTTGGCTCGAAATTGGGTTAAAACCTAGAATTTCCTGACCACACGGTCAGGCCACACGGCCGTGTGGATTCCCAGTTTGCCCGTGTGAGAATGGAAACGCCGCATTTTGATTAGTAGACTTCAGGCACGCTGCACGGCCCAGAGGCACACGGCCGTGTGGATTTCCAGTCTGGCCGTGTGAGCTCCCTGGACTTTCCACACGGCCACAAGGGGTCCCCTACACGGCCAGTGTGCCTCTGGCCGTGCAAATTGGTGTCACACGGCCAAGTCACATTGCCGTGTGGAATTTTAGGCGTGCCCGTGTGAGTTCCTCAGCTTCTCGCAAAACGTCCAATCTTCATCCAATCGACCCCGAACTCGTTCCCAAACCTTCATTCGCATACTAGGACCTGAAATATCACAAACAAGAACAACCTAGCGTGAAATCGGCCTAAAACACGAGAAATAAGACTCAAACGGTATAAGAATGGTGGACAAAAACATGTGTATATATCAAGTCATCATCTGGCATCTATAGAATTGTTCGATGGAGGCCGACAAATATGGAGATCATTAGATTGACTACCTGAGCGTCATCTATAGATTTTCCACTAGAGGAATTTCAAAATCTACCGTAGGATATCAAGATTAGATTAGAGTAAGGGAGCCTAAGATAAAGAAGAAAAAACAATAATTTGAGCTAGATGAGCTCTGATACTATGTGCGAATGCTTGAGAATTCAGTTAGGAGAGAGATTGTAAGAGAAACAATTATGCTTCTTGATTGTAAGAATGATTTTTATAGATTACATTTTAGGGTTTTTCTTTATAGCCAATATATTGGTTTCTCAATGACTATTGGTCTCAAAACAAAACTAGACCCGTAACCCGACTGCAACTCGAGTTTACTTAAAAGTCAATGACCCATAACCCGCTAGACCCGCAACCCGATTGACCTATTACCCACTTGACCCGCAACTCTATTGACCCGTAATCCGATTGAACTCGTATTCCTACTAACTCGTAACCCAATTAACCTGATTGACTTGTAACCCATTGAATCGTAACCAGGCTAACACGCAACCCGATTAACACGAATCCAATTGTTTCGTAACCTGATTGTAATTTTTGTAAATCTTATTTGTAATGTTATATAAATTTGGTTTGTGTCGTTTATTATTTTATTTGGTTGTTTTTGTCTATTATGTTTGTAATATTTATGTGAATAATTTGTATATATTGTAATTTGTAATGTTTGTTACTCTAGTTTGTATACTTTAAGTTAGTGATATTTTGTACAGTTATTATACTTTTATCATCTCGTTTGTATAGTTTGTTTCATTGGTTTCTAAAGTAAAGCATCATCAAGGTTGTCAACCAGCGGGCCGACCCACTTTTAATCTGACGAGATGAGAAAAACAGGTCACACGCACCGGCCAGGTTGACCGCTACAAGTTATCGGGTTGGAGGTCAAATTGTGTCATTTTTTTCTTTGGTTTGCGAAATGCGCCTATTTTCTGCTTTATATTTTCGCCTAACTCAATATTTGGAATCCTTAATTGAAAATTTGAATATTGATGTTATATATGTGTGAGTGAATTTTCACTATATGTTGGTTCTAAGTACGACATGTTACTTTGGTGTAATGTTATAAGTCATTTAGATGAGATTTGATATAATTTACCAGGATAAGTATAATATAATGAATCTTTCCATATTTCCGGGCTAAAACAGGTGATTTGTTAACCCTTGACCCACTAGCTCGACCGGGTCTGGGTCAACCCACGGGTTGACAACCTTGAGCATCATTGAATGACCTTAGTCTTTGAAAACTGTGGTGCCCTCACCTGGCGCCATTCCCGAAACTAGCAGTAGACGAGCCTGAACTCAGATTTCACCAAACTCTTCTTTCTTTGAGCTACTCCCACGCTTTACCCTGCCCGACTACTTCATTGCGATGAAAAATAGTCCCACTGGAATATGGAGGTGTTAGGTAGTATCCAAATCCATGAATCAAATCCAATGCATCCACCAAAATATCCTACAAATCCAATCTATTTGATTCAAATCCTATTGGATTGGTGGGTTTAGATATTTTTTAAATTACAGTCTAGTGCCTATACTTTTTATATTTTACATTTTGGTGCCTCATAACCTTCTTGGACGATATCTCACAAATCTTTTGAGCAATGAAGATTCTCTTCATTTGTCGCTCTAGTAAGTAGAGTTCACCCTTAAAAATTGGAATCTGACTTGGGGAATTTGTCAACATTGTGTTCGCTTGGGTTGTTGCTATGGTGATTGGGAATTTTTATGGATAAGAAATATTTGGGCTAGTTTAGGAGGATATAAAAATTATATCGGCTTTGATATCAAATTTGTTGGACACATCGAAAATATTGCGCGATTTTAATGCACGAAAATCAAGAAAATAAAATTATTTCACTCCAACATTTTTACACAACAATATCTAAGCAATTGAAGTAACTCAAAAGGAGGAAGGAATTTTTATCTCACAGAGTGGCTTCGCAAAGGATGTCCTGAAGAAGTTTAAGATGGAGAATTGTAATCCTGTGAGCACACCAACAGAGTGTGGACTGAAATTATCCAAGAATGACAAAGGAGAGAAGGTCAACTCAACGGAGTTTAGAAGTCTCGTGGGAAGTCTGAGATATCTGACTTGTACCAGACCAGATATTCTCTACGCAGTTGGATTAGTCAGCAGATACATGGAGGTACCAACAATGTCACACTGGAATGCTGCAAAGAGGATACTGCGCTACATTAAAGGTACAATCGATCATGGTCTACTTTATACTAAGTCAGAAAATTTCAAATTGGTTGGATACTGCGATAGTGATTGGGCAGGAGACGTGGATGATCGTAAGAGCACTACAGGATTTGTATTTTTTATGGGAGATACAGCTTTCACATGGAGTTCAAAGAAGCAAGCTATAGTGACATTATCAACTTGTGAAGCTGAGTATGTTGCTGCGACATCTTGTGCGTGTCATGCGATATGGCTGAGAAAATTGCTAAAGGAGTTGAACATAGCACAAGAAGAGTCGACTGAGATTTATGTTGATAACAAGTCTGCCCTGGCGTTAGCAAAGAATCCAGTGTTTCATGATCGCAGTAAGCATATTGATACAAGATATCATTTCTTGAGAGAATGCGTGGAGCAGAAAGAAGTGACGATGAAGTATGTGAAAACTGAAGACCAGATTGCAGATATATTCACGAAGGCGCTGAAGCAAGATGTTTTCGTCAAGATGAGGACTCTACTCGGAGTTACGGTTAATTAAACTTTAAGGGGGAGTGTTGAAATTAAATAAAGTTTAATTAAAATAAAACTGAAAAAATATATGAATCTGCTGGAAGGGACGTGATGAGCTAGAATGGATTGGAATTGTGTAGAAATGTGTGTGGTAGTTGTATTATAAAAATAGAAAAATCATGAACCACAATTGCTAAGTCGGTTCAACTACTATCATTAATAGGTTGCAGATTTTTATGTAATGGGAGTAGTATAAATAGGCTCATTTGGAGCTGTGTATGATGTAGAGCCAAGAAGAAAAGAAAATGACAATAAAAGAAGCCTCCATTACTAAAACTCTCTGCCAATTCTCTCCAAACAAAATCCCCAACTTTCAATTCTTCTAGCTCAACCAACGAGCTCACCCAAAAGCCCACCATTAACTTTGAGTTAAAAAGGAAATAATTAATTTTATTTCCAATAGTGGTTCCATAGTTGAATTCTATGTGGAAGTGCGTGCAATATCTCCTGTGTTAACAATTCCCCTTATAATCATCTCTCTAAGAGTATATACGTACCTTAACTTTATAAAGAGATGGGACAAACTTTAGATGAAAATAGAGATATCAAAACAAACTTTTGATCCTTGTAAATCATGACAGACCAGGCCGATTGAGAAGACAGACGACATCGGATTAGGACATAGAAACTGACAAAAAGTAACATGTATCAGTATATAGAATTCAACACCTCAAGCTCACTCACTCATCCTATCTAATGATTATTTAATAACTACTTGATTCCTGCATATGCCAAATTGTCAATCAGCAAAGTAATAGCAACACAGTTCCATGTGATTACCTCGTCAAGCATTATGGCAAGCCTGGGGTACTTTTGAAATGTTCATTGTCACCCCGACCGACTTCCCTGTCATTCTTGCATTAGGTAGTCTGTAATCTGCATGCAATTCAACATATTGCTACTTGATTAAGATTATCAAAGATTTTTATCTATGGCAAAAATTGCGATCCCTTGTCTTCACCATCATCTTTGATCAAAGGGAGACTGATCACAATGAAGCTTTGCAAGAATCCACCAACACCGAATGTGAAGCCGCCAATCTGGATCTATCCATCGTATGCCGAGCTGAATTATGCATTATAGTGGAGGGAGTTTGGATGGCTATAGGAATGGAAGACATACTCACCAGTTTCAGACGGGACGGCGTTGGCGGCTGTCAATCACCGAAGCTCCTCTAGACGGGACAGAGTCGGCGGCGGTAAATCAACCAAGTCCCTCCATCTTACCCAGCCACCAAGAAGTTCTACGACGGGAATCGAGAGGGAAGAAACGGGGGTGACAGAGGGGAAATTAAGGCGAAACACCAAAGAAAGAAGCCAGCTTGGCCAACCTCCTGGTCCTGCTTGACAACTGCGTCGCATATTAGAAAGGGGTAACAACTTACCTAGCCGCCACTCGGTCTTCGCAGGAAGATCCGAAAAGAGATTAGTTATGTGAGAGAGAGATTGGGGACAGAGGGAATGAAGGGATCAAGGGCGCACAAGAGCTTATGGTGGAGACGCCCACACCCCACTGGACCCCTAAAGTAAAACAGGCGCTATTTATTATCTAATAATATATATATAGTTCAGGCTAGCGTATGTCTGTCGTATGCTTACTCTACTGTACGCCCGTTGAATTTTGTTAGTTAGACCATGAATTAACCGGAGTTTGGGGCATGATACTATACCCTAACCTCTAATGGGTGAACCCCAGTCGCCAATTCTCTAACCCAAACCATAATATTCATTTAATCTCAAAATGAAAACCAACGGTTCTGATTCGTCAGAATTATCCATGTACAAAAAATAGGCGTGAACGCAGGCATATAGAGTACGACTAACGTACGCTAGACTTTGCCATATATATATATATATATATATATATATATATGGTGACTACTTCGGTGCACTCACAAAAATGAGTGTGTTCAATGCACCCAACTCAAAAACTAGTCTTAAGGTGTCGGATTTTGAATTTTAATTTGTAGAATTAGTGTAATATGATGATATAACATATGATAACAACTAATTAACCGATTACCCTAAGCCCTAGACCTCCAATTTTGAATTCTATCCCTAAACCCCAAATTATAAACCCTAACCCTAAATCTCTAAACTCTAAATCCTTCAAATTAAAGTAAATATTAAATGATTTTTTGTGCAAATTCATGTGCTTTATTGTTCACTACATTATAAGTGATGATTGACATTATTTTGACATGAATCACATATTTTAAATGACGGTTATGAAACGAGTGCATTGAATACACCCAAAAAAGTGAGTGCACCGAAGACGCCACCGTATATATATAATATATTAGGTTCAGGCTAGCGTACGCCCGGGCGTACGTTAGGCTACCGTACGCCCGTTTGAGTGTTGCTATTTAGATCATGAATTAACCGGATTTTTGGGCATGATACTATACCCAAACCACTAATGGATATACCCCAGTCCCTAGTTTTCTAACTCAAATCATGAGATTCGTTTAATCTTAAAATGAAAATCAACAATAATTTCGATGAATCAGAAACGTTGATTTTCATTTCAAGATTAAATGAATATTATGCTTTGGGTTAGTGAATTGCGGACTGGGGTTCACCCATTAGGGGTTATGGTATAGTATCATGCCCCAAACTCCAGTTAATTCATTGTCTAAATAGCAAAACTCAACGGGCGTACGGTAGGCTAGGGTACGTCCGGGGGTACGCTAGCCTTTGCCATATAATATATATACACGGTACCCCAGGTGAAATCCGGGGTACCACATACCTTGAGTATGAAAAAGCTATCTAGACCTCGAATTAGCAGGATTTTTGACACGCTAAAACACAACACCAAACTGCGACCAAGTGTAATCGCAGTCCGGGAATGCAGTAAAGTAGCAAGTTCTATTATCAATCCGGGGTCTAGATCTACTGCCTACTCCGTGATTATCTATTATCTAGCCAACTAAGTCGAGTGATTGTTGTTTAAAGTAAAAGCAGTAAAAAGCAGGAAATGATTCGGTTTTCTGAAGTCAAGGAAGAGTCACTCGGGAATGAGTCCCCCTAGCTCCTTAGTTAGGTCTCAATTTTAATTACCCTGGGTTGATTTATTGTTGATTAAACTGCGGAAGATCCGACAGTAGCTTGAAATCTCTTAAGCTGACCAAGCCCTCTCAGTCAAACTACCCGGCAGACGACTAGTCTTCACCGGGATAGAAAGCTGAGGCTATGAACACAGAACTCCACTACTGAAATTGGATTCCAGAAAGCAGTAGATTGACTAACTCTCGTATAGCCAATCCACTACTACCGAATGATGTAGCTCTAACAACCTAATTAGATTCTATCTATCTCAGGTTACAGCAGAAATCAAGAAAAGCTGATCAGACTTCAATCAATTCAATGAATCATGCATCATTCGATTATAATCAAGCAGTATAACAATCCCAAGTCATTACAATCAAAATCCCTAACACATGGAACTAGGGTTGTTCATACCCAAGTGAGAGAAAGTTCTACTCCATAGAGAGAGAGGGGAAAACAGGATACAATGCAGTCATACTCATAACAATGGGAAGAATCTGCTCTAGGATGATGATTATCACTCCTATGATGATCTCAAAGCTTGATTTGATGAAACCCAGCTCCAAAACCACTCTTAGGATGTGTTCTTCGCACTTTCTCTCTCTAGGGCTCTTTTTTTGCTCCAAAAGGTCGATTCTCTCACTTGTGGCTCGGAATTGGGTAAAAACCAAGATTTCCCTACTCACACGGGCAGGCCACACGGCCGTGTGGCTTACCCAGTTGCCCGTGTGGCTTCCAAAACGATGTGTCTCAATTAATCTAACTTCAGGCTTCCCACACGGCCAGGGTCACACGGCCGTGTGGAAATTCCACCATGCCCGTGTTTGCTTTCGGCACAAACCACACGGCCACAAGAGTGACTTGCACGGCCGTGTGTGTTCCAGGAATGCCCGTGTGGCTTCCTCAGCGCCTTGCCACGCGTCCGATCTTCGTCCAATCGCCCCCAAACTCGCTCCCAAGCCTCCATTCACGTACTAGGACCTGAAATATCACAAACAAGCACAACCTAGCTTGAAATCGGCCTAAAACGCGAGAATCCACATCTCAAATGGTGTAAGAATAGGGGTAAAAACATGTGTAATTAAAGGTCTATCAATTTTTGGGCATGATACTATACCCTAACCGTTAATGAGTGAACCCTAGGTCCTAATTATCTAAATCATAAACTCTAAACCCTAAGATGGTGCATTGATTTTTCCCCCTATATTTGGACGAATCATAACCGTCGATTATTGTTTCTAATTAAATTGATCTTGCAGTATAAGATTTAGAGAATTAAGACATAGAGTTTGATCTTTAAGGGTTAGAGTATAGTATCATGTCCGAAAGATCAGTCAATTCAAGTTCTGGATAGCGTTTTCGTACTCAACGTATGCGCCCCAGATTTCACCATGGGTGTCGTAGAACTCCCCATATATATATATATGTGTGTGTGTGACAAAAGCTAGTGTATGCCTGACGTACGCTATACGCTTGCGTTCAAACTTATTATTGTGCTTTTGTAATTTCGACGAATCAGAATCGTTAATTGTCATTTTAAGATAAAATGAATCTTATGTTTTGGGTTAGAAAAATTGGGGACATGGATTCACCTATTAGAAGTTAGGTCATGGTATCATGTCCCAAATTCCAGTTAAATAATGGTCTAAATAACAATACTCAATAGTCATACGGTAAGGCATATGCTAGCCTGAACCATATGTATATAAATTAAATAACTTTGATATATGTCATTGCTTATGTAAGACTGAACGAAATGAAAAACACTATTAAAGAGTACTCATACGAAATTGCCAAACAACACACTAACATTTCTTCAATTGTAGACCAAACATGTTAACTTCATTTCGATTATCCCCTTCTTCCATAGTAAGAGGTTTGCAAATGTTCATTCGTGGCATAGACCTGCCTTCAATGTAATATTATATTCATAAAATTAATTTTTTTTATTTCATCAAAAAAGTATTTGTTGCATGGAAATTACTACATGATTGCCGATTATATTTGTGACTACATATTTATTTTGGGAACTACCTCTAATATTCAATTATATGGTCTATTTAAGTATTGACAGACAGTTAATTATATGTATTTCGTTCCATCGAACAATTATTCTTAGATCATATTCTCTTCTTTCTATTATGCATACACAAACGTTACATGCATATATGAGCATCTACATATGCATTATTATATACCATGTTCCCAGTGTAACCTCTCCCGGCCAACAGGCCGATCCCCGTGCTAGGGAATGATGGAGGTCACGATTCTACAATTTTGATGCTTCTATGTCTTTGCCTTTGACCTATGTTGCTGCTGATTCTATTTGCCTTATCTGTCTCAGGAAATAACTCCCCCTCTACAAAAGACAGGTCCTCCCAATATAGTCGTTGTGGCATTGATATATCAAAGATAGCTTCTCATGTATCACAACAAGGGGCATAGGTGAGGTTGCAAATTTGTTGCAACTGCACAACCCAATATGAAGGCAAGAAGCAAGTGATCTCAGCGTATGATGATTACAGGATATTAATCCTCTAAAAGGTTGTATAAAAGGCTTTTATCTTGCAGGCATTGCCCTATCTATTTTGTATTGCATCCCCTGGATTGCTTTGTCTGTTTTCCTACATCAATAATCCAAACTACTACCACTGAAAAACTGAGCAAGCTCATGAGTTGCAGTTTGTTTAGAAATTATGTATCCTCGACTTCTTTTTGCCAGTTGTCAGTGATTGAAAATAGTTGTGAATTAATCCCACTAACTCTGCTGCTAAAAATTTTCATAAAACTAAGAGAAAATAAAAAGTACTACAATGACAACAACTTGCCGGTCAACAGACCGGCCTCTGTGCTAGTTAATATTTATAATAAAGTACTACGAAAAAGAGTCGAACAAGGGATCACTCAATTCAAAATTAGTGGTATACAAATTCTATTTATTTTTAAAAGGGATTCAAATTAGAAAATAGTTTGGGACATAAAATACAAAATTCAAATAAATTACATCTGTGTAAAATTTAAGTGTCGAAAAAGAAAAAATTTCGTAACCTATAACTATAATGAGGAGAAAATTGTTTGTCTTAGGGGTCGTTTGGAAGTTGCGATAGTTTTGTTGAGATTGTCATTATGCATGTATTGTTTACAATGCATCGTTTTTTTGTTTTTTTAGCAGAAACAATACACGGATTGTTTCTGTGATGTGACAGAAACTATCACTCATTTTGAGTGATTGTTATATCTCAACTTTTAGTTGTGATTGTTGAGATAGTTGAGTTGAGATTATTTTGTCTCAGCTTTTAGCTGATGCGACATACACAATCACACATACCAAACGTTGTATTCTATAATGCATCAAATTCGACAATACATGTATAATATTATACATGCATTCTCAACAATACATCTATTTAACAATCGCAACTTTCAAACGACCCCTTAGTAAACACTAACCGGCAAAAAGAAAAAAAAAAACCCGGCTACATCTGGGTAAGCGTGAAGGGCACCGCCGCTGCCACACCGGCGCCGGGCCCGCACAGCAGAATTGCCGTTACTCACTTTAACCTTCCATTTTGTCGTTTGAGAAACAAACAAAAGAGCACAGAGACGCATGAATTAAATAGCTAGTCTTGTACGTGTAACTCTGTTTTTTCTTCTTATTCTAGCGGCGGAGAGAACAAGAAACAAAATAGAGAATTTAACGTACGATTCATGAGAGTCCAAGGCTCCATATCTTACAATCCAGCTAGTTGTACTTTGGTTTGTTACACCTCATCCCCCACTGCCGAGAGAGAAGCAGAGAAAGACACAGTGATGAGTTCCCAAACCCCTCACGCCGTCTGCATCCCTTACCCAGCACAAGGCCACATAAACCCCATGCTTAAACTCGCCAAACTCCTCTACTCCCGCGGCTTCCACATCACCTTCGTCAACACCGAGTACAACCACCGCCGCCTCCTCAAGTCCCGACGCGGCGGCGCAGCGGCATCTGATCTCTTCCATTCCCTCCCGCCGGGCTTCAACTTCCAGACGATCCCCGACGGCCTCCATCCGCCAACCGACGACGACGGCGCCGTCGATGCCACCCAGGACATCCCTTCTCTGTGCGACTCTACCTCCAAGCACTGCTTGGCGCCGTTTCGAGACCTCGTTTTGAGGCTAAACGGCGTCACTTGCATCGTGTCGGATGGTTCGATGAGCTTCACTCTCGATGTGGCTAAGGAGCTCGGGATCCCCGACGCGCTCTTCTTGACGCCCAGCGCGTGTGGGATCTTGACCCACGCCCATTTCCACCTGCTTGCAGAGAAAGGCTTGGTCCCTCTCAAAGGTTAAAAAAACATCGTCCCCTCCTCCGTCACGTTAGTTGTCTTCTATTATAGCTTTACCCTAACGCACGGGTATGCACACGCGAGTTCTTTTTTTATTTTTTTACAGATTCGAGTTACTTGACCAACGGGTATCTGGACGAGACATCCATCGACTTCATTCCAGGACTGAACAAGAACATCCGCATGAAACATCTCCCTTCCTTCGTCCGAACCACCAACCCTAACGACGTCATGTTCAACTACATCCAGAGAGAGGTCTCGCGAGTGCCCGAGGGATCCGCCCTCCTTCTCAACACGTTCGACGCTCTAGACCAACAAATTCTCGCCGCTCTCTCCACAGTGATCTCCCCAAACATTCTCACCATCGGGCCTCTCAACTTGCTCCTCAACCAGATCAAAGGGCACGACGAGTTGAAGGAAGTCAACACAAATCTATGGACCGAGGACACCGAGTGCATCCAATGGCTGGACTCCCAAGACCCCAACTCCGTTTTGTACGTCAACTTCGGGAGCATCACCGTGATGACACCACAACAATTGAGCGAGTTCGCGTGGGGGCTTGCAAGAAGTGGAAAGCCCTTCTTGTGGGTGATTCGGCCCGACCTTGTTGGGTCCGATGATGATCTGCCGTTGGAGTTCGTGGAGGAGACAAAGGACAGAGGGATGGTGGCGGGGTGGTGCTGTCAGGAGGAGATCCTGAGCCATGGTGCAGTTGGTGGGTTCTTGAGCCACATGGGTTGGAACTCGACGGTGGAGAGCTTGTCGTACGGTGTGCCGATGTTGTGCTGGCCCTTCTTCTCGGAGCAGCTCACCACTTGCTTCTATGCCTGCAACGAGTGGGGAGTCGGGATGGAGGTGGATCCGGAGGTGAGGAGGGAGGAAGTGGAAGGGTTGGTGAGGGAGTTGATGGGCGGGGACAAGGGGAAGGAAATGAAGAGGAGGGCTATGGAGTGGAAAAACAAGGCAGAGGAGGCGACTAGGGTTGGTGGTTCGTCGTTTCAGAATATGGAGAGATTGGTTGAGTTGTTGTTGGGTAACAAAATGAGTTGAGTTGAGGGATCTTTAATTTCCTGGAGACTTCTTTGTCCTTTTTTTTTTGTTTTTAATATTTTAGTTAGCCTCTGGTTTGCTTATGGCAAAGGGCACTCAAATGAGACTAATAGTATGTTTTGATGATGCCCTGCATCAAATTGTAGGTCTTGATCAATCATTAATTAGTAAGTTTGAGTTACCTTGTTCTTCAATCATTAGCACTATCCTTTTTACCAAGTTAAGTGTATTAAAAAAGCTTCATCTCATATTCCTAGTTTAATTTAAACGTATCAAAGCTAGAGGCATACGTATGGAGATAGAATGTAAGGAAGTCGTTGATTTAATCTCATGATTTGGCTTTCTGAGATGGCATGCAAGAAAATGGTTAAGTACCATATATGCATCTCTTCCAATAAGTCGAGTAATTAAACCAATTAGTTCTTGACATTGTATAAAAGCCTTGAATGACCGGAAAGTCTTGTGCTCCAATCTCATGATTTGTTAAACAGGTGATATTCAGACCCGTTTAAGCTTCAAATCCCATACAATGTGGCTTTCGTTTGAGAAGATGTATTATTAAGTGATATTGGATCCATATACTGAGCATCTCTTATTAACTCGACTTATTGAGACCAATTGATTAATAAGAAATTTTATAAAGCAAAGGCCTTAGTACATACATTAAACATAATCTAAGATTTTGTTGGATTTATCTCTATACAATCTTTTTTCTCTCTCCATATTTTCAATACTTCACTCACTCACTTAATCATCGACGAGTCTTTCTAATTTATTAAGGGTTCTTACCAGTATCATCTATTCTAATGGCAACAATAACAACATAAATTGAAATGGATTTAACGAACCTCATCCAGTCATCCTTATACATCAAGCAAGCTATTCATTCAGGAAACACTTTAGGGCTTAGGATAGGGTCAGTAACTATTGATTACTGACCTATGAGTAACTAAATCTGAATCTTTAGATCTAAGTGGTTCTAGAAAATCCAGATCTAAGAATTGTCAATTAAAAATATTTTATTTTTCCTAGTTTTCATAATCAGCTCTTATCTTCTTCGTTCTAACTCGGATTTCAATTTTTTTTGCACAAATGGAACGAGTTCGTTGTGCTCTACAAAATGAGATCAATTTTCAATATATTTCGAGAATTTTTTTTTATCAACTACATACCATATGGTAACTTCTTCGTTTTAAGTCGTTTTTGAAAACGCTTGCTCAGAAGGAACGGATTCATCTTTTTCTATTGAATCTACAAATTTCTGGTTGAAAAAAATATTGGACAAAAAATTACCATACTTCACCACTATGGTATGTCATATGTAGGTGGTAACTTGTAGTAAACAATGATGAAAGTCGTAAATGACAGTTAGTATGCTCCTACTATCATGTATTCAACCTTCTTACCATATTGGTATGTTCATACCATCATGGTACGCTTTCTTTTTACTTATTATTGGTTGGTGTTTTACGAATACATGATTGTTAGCCAATCCCCTTGGAGTTGTTCTGCTTTCTATGTCATTAATAATGCAGAAAAGGAACGTAGCATCCTTACTGGTAAAGCCTGGGGGGAAATGGTTTGTCTAAATCTTTTTACTTATTATTAGTTGAGAGATGGGTACCCCATGGTTAGATATATTATCCTAGCTGAGTCCTTTGTGAGAGAGTTGTAAGACCGTCTTTGGCCGTTAATCTATCTCACCTGTAAGTTCGATCCAACCTTTGTTTACCTTCTTTCCTCTAGTCATGAGTTCGATTTTTATACCTTCCTCTTCTTCCTCTAATTCTGACAACACCGGGGACCGTGTGATCAACCAAGAAGAAATTAATTTTGAAAATGTTAGTAAAGAAATTGATAATTGGCAAATTTCTAGGATTGCCCAAAAGGAAATTTATGAGCAAAGCAAATTTAACTTCCTCAATAAAATGGATTATACCATCAAAATCGAAGAAAGAGATATTCATCTTTTCAATGATTATGAAACTATCAAACTTTTGTCTCAAAATTCTATTCAACAACACAAAAAGAAGTACAACTATATCCATATTGGGTTAGTTCAAATAGGGATTAAGCCTCTATCCAAAGAAGGCCTTAATACTGCTATTTTAATGGTTTTACGAGATTGTCGGTTTTTTTAGTTTAACGACTCTTTACTTGGAACTGTTGAATCAAGTCTTTGTAATGGCCCAATTTACTTCAATTGTTTTCCAAACTTTACTGTCTCTCTTCATGACAAAAATATTTTAGATGTTTTAACCCTACAAATAAAAACTTTCAACTATAAAATCCAACAAGGATCTTTACCTATCTCTTTGGTTTACCGTTTACACTATAAAGCTATGAAATATGCTTTCTCTTCTAAAGCTCTTCAATATGGTACAAAAGGAGAAACTATACTTTGGCAAACTGATTTAACTCTTACTAAAACTGTTACTCCCAAAACTATCAAATGGGGAGAAGTTACTCTTCCTACAGAATGGACCCTTGAAGGAGCTACCATTCCCAGAAGCATCGACCATTGTCAGGTTAATCAAATTACTCGACATCTTGATGGTACTGTTAACATCTCTTTTGCTAGGAACTCCATCTCTAGCATTTCTGATATAGACCCTGAATTGACAGACGATGCTCGACAACGCATCAACACTTTTCTTAGAAGCCAATCTTGTAGAAATCTTTCTCCCATACTTACACCCACTTGGCATACCTCCTTTACACTCAACTATGATCTACGAGGAATCAACAACTCCAACAACATACCCCGGCCAGTTTATACTCTACCACCTCCCACAACTCCTTTTCCAAATATAAATACCTCGAGAACACCAAAGATGTCTCCTACTGCCTCACAAGCTGCGTTTCGTGAAGAAGAAATCCCTTCTGCTCTTGATGTCATTACACAAGAGTTCAAAATCAACAAATAATTTCTTCGCCATGATTTCTATTCCCAACAAAACCGTTTTAAACGCGAGCAATTTTTTATTGATTACTCTAAAGAAGAACGTGTACTTATACAAAACTCTTTCTATGATTATCTCAATAATATACGAGAACACCATTCTTTCTTTAATTGGTTCGAATAAGTCTGTTCTCAATCTTCGATAAATATTCAAACCAAGCCTATGACTTGGTTAACTACTAATAACTCTAAGATCCAATCTATTCATCCCCCCTAATGCTCCTGTTAATTTTTCTTATTATGGAACAACAGTTCAAGCCTCTCCTTTTAAATTAAAACGAGAAAATAGTGACCATGTCAAAGGAGAAGATATTCGACGTCTGATTGAACAAAACAATTATACCAAACGATTTCTTCAGACTTTAGGAGATCAACTTACTAATGTTGAAATCAGTTTACCTCTGTCTTTTGCATCTACTTCAAATACTCCTATTCCTCCTTCCAACAAACTTAATTCCCCCATTTTCAAACCTTTTGAAGTTTCTAAAGAATCTAGTCTTGAATTTAAGCTTGAAATAGAAAAACGTCTTAAACAACTTTCTACATAACTATCCACTTCTAAGACTCCTTATATTTCAGACTCAAAATCCACGAGCAACGAGGATCAAATCGTCGATGACTCAGCCGAAGTAATTCAAGATATAGAAGGTCATATTGAAACAGAAATCAATCGTCTCCGATGGAACCAACCCTCTGCATCTAAGATGTATTACCCACGTCCCACAACACCTGATTTAGCTCTCGAAGAGAAACCCACCGTTATCAAAAATTAGGGGTGGCCGTTCGGTTGCCGGTTAGCGGCTAACCGGACGGTTAGACCGATAACCTCCGGTTAGCGGCCAACCGAAAACCGACTGTATAGGCTCTCGGTCGGTGGTCGGAGTGGTTGGTAGGAGAGTCGGCTAACCGAGCAACCGAAGTCGGCTAACCGAGCAACCGAGTCCAACCGACCCATATAAAACCCACGCCCAAAAGCCCACCCCAAACCCTATCCTCCTTCTCCTTCTTCTCCCATCAACCTATTCTTCCACCCTCACCTCCACAGACACCACCACCACCACCAGCCGCCGCACTCCCCTGCCTCCTCTGCTCCCCCTCCTTCCGCCGCACCATAACTTCCTCCACGGCTCCGCCTCCAACCGTCGCGACCTGCATGCAACAGCCTCCACCACCCGCCGCGCCGCCTGCCGCCTCCAACCGCCGCCGCGCGAACGCCGTCTCCCTCCGCCTCTGTCCGCCGGCTTCGCGAGGTCGCTCCTCCCTCTACCGTCGGCGGCAAGCCTTCCTTCTCGGCTGCTTTTTTTATTTGTTATGGTTAATCACTCGGCTGCTTCTTGAATCTTCGGGAGCAGGTTCTGTTGATTGAGCTAAGAGATTTAGTGTTGGTTGCGGGCAGAGAAGCTAGAGAGGAACGACGCCCCTCCGGTTACCGGCGGCGCGTATGATTTTGAGAGGGCAACGAGCTCTCTGGCCGGGAAGTTGATGTCTTCGCCAAAGAAGGTTACGATTGTGGAAACAGGAAAAGAAAGGAGAAAGAAGGTTGGAGGAGAGAGAAGGAGCAGATAATGAATGTGGTGGTGGTGGAGGGTTTGAAAGGAAAGATAAGGAATAAGTGGTTCCTGTTTTTTTGATTTTTTTAATTTTTTTTTTTTTACTTTAGGGTGTGGTTTTCGGGCATGAGGTTAACCGAACCAAAACCGGCTAACCGACCGGTCGGTGGTCGGCTAGCCGCTGTATTTTCTCGGTCGGTGGGCGGTAGCCGGATGTGGTCGCTCGGTTTAACCGATAACCGAGAAATTGGTTTTCGGTTAAACCGAAACCGACCGACTGCCACCCCTATCCAAAATAAATACAACTACAATTCTATTTATGAATGGAATCTTGATGGATTTTCAGAATATCAAATTTTGAACCTTCTTCAACAAATGACCATGGTAGCTAATGCTTACAAAACTCAAAATCAAACTTCTGATTACGCTATAGCTGAACTACTTATAGCTGGCTTTGCTAGTCAATTAAAGGGTTGGTGGGATAATATCTTAACCACGGAAGACCAGAGAACTATTTTTACAGCTGTCAAATGTGTCTCTTCTCGAACTCCTATTTTAGACTCCAATAATCAATCTTCTCAAGATGCAGTTGCATCCATGATTTTTGCCATTTCAAAACATTTTATTGGAGATTCTTCACATCTTAAAGATAAAAATGGCGTACTACTTTCTAATCTTCGTTGTAAAAAGTTTCATGACTTCCGATGGTACAAAGATACCTTTTTAACTAGGGTTATGCAAAGAGAATATGGTAATCAACCATTTTGGAAAGAAAGGTTTTTAGCAGGTTTACCCCGTCTCTTAGGAGATAAAATCCGAAACAAAATCTAAGACACTTTTAATGGTCAAATTCCTTATGAGCAACTTACTTACGGAGAACTTATTAGCTTTATACGAAAAGAAGGATTACAAATTTGCCATGATTTAAAACTTCAAAAACAAATCAAACACGAACAAAAACTAACTCGAAAAGAACTAGGATCTTTTTGTGCTCAGTTTGATGAATCTTATTCAAAAATTTCTTCCAAATCTAACTGTGAGGATTGTAGCACCAAACCTCATCAAAGACATCGCGATCGTCCCTACCAATCTTTTAAAACCACGAATCAAAAATCCCATTTCTCTAGGAATCCCCGCCAAGATAAGGGACCATGATCTAACAATGAAAATAAAAACATTACTTGTTTTCGTTGTGGAAAAACAGGTCATATCTCCAAATATTGTCGTATAAAAAAGAAGCTCAATGAGCTTAATCTTGATGAAGATATATTGATGACAAAATCAATAATATTTTTCTCCAACACTACTCTTCTCATGAGGATTCTTCTTCTTCTGATGATGATGATGAGAATCTTCAGGCCTTACAATTTGATGACATCGATGAAAGTTCTGAATCTTCTATGAATGTTTTAACCAAAGATTAAGAGCTTATCTTAGATCTAATCAATAATATTGATAATCCTCATCTCAAAGAAAAATATTTCAAAAAGCTTCATGAGCACATGGAGAAACCTCCTGTGACTATTCCACCTACCAATCCCTTTCATCAAGGTTCGACGTATAGTGTCAAAGATATCCTTTCTCGACATAGTGATAACGATTCCCACAATCCTTCTATTCCTGACTTCCAAAAGGAATTGGATATTGTTAAGAAAGAAATTCAACAATTACGACAGTTACAAAATAGTGATCATGAGATATTACAAACTTTAATAGCTCTCAAACCTTTAGAAGAGCCATCAACATCTAGCCCCGACAACTTTTTCGATGAAACTCCTCATGCAACCAACAGTTTAGAAACAGAGGAAATGCTAACTGAAGACGATTTTCTATGTTTTTTATCTACCATTATTACTACCCAAAAATGGTATGTTATCATTAATATTCAGGTTTCTTCTGATTTTACTTTAAGCACAGTACCCCTTCTTGATACAAGAGCAGACATGAACTGCATCCAAGAAGGATTAATTCCAACTAAGTACTATGAAAAGACCCTCGAGCGTCTATCTACCGCTAACTGTCAACCTCTTCAAATACAATATAAACTTTCTAATGCTTTAATTTGTCATCAAAATGTTGAATTCAAAACTCTTTTTATCCTAGTTCGTGACATGCAACAAAAGGTGATCTTAGGGACACCTTTTCTAAATCTTCTAAAACCTTTTACTGTCACCGACCAAGGAATTAACACTGTTGTGTTAGGCAACAATGTTGAATTCTCATTTCTCCAAAAACCAAAAGTTCGAAACCTAAATGTTTTACGACGTTCTTCTATAAAATATATACACCATATAATTCGTTGTAAAACTAATCAAATATCTTATTTGCATGATGAGATACATTTTCAGCGAATCTTACAACAGCTTTCTCAACCCCTTTTGCAAAAACGAATCAACTCTTTAAAATAGCACATTAAAAGCTCTATTTGTGCTGATACACCCAATGCTTTTGGGCATAAAAAACAACATCAGGTTGATCTTTCTTACGGAAAAAGATTTCAATGGAAATCTCATTCCCACCAAGGCTAGGCCTATCCAAATGAATTCGGACCTTGAAAAACATTGTCGACAAGAAAGTAAAGAATTGCTAAAAAAGGGCCTTATCAGATCTAGCCAATCTCCTTGGAGTTGTTCTGCTTTCTATGTCATTGATAATGCAGAAAAGGAACGTGGCGTTCCTCGTCTTGTACAAGGCAGTTGGATTGGGATTTACCCGAGCTATTATAAACTACAAACCGTTGAATAAGGCTCTGAAATGGATTAGGTATCCTATCCCCAACCAAAAGGATCTACTCTAGAAACTTTCACAGTCCCTAATATTTTCTAAATTTGACATGAAATCCGGTATTCCCTAACTTTCACAGTCCCTAAACTTTCCAGTATTCCTTGGAAACCTAGAAAAAGAGGAAAACCGGCTCTGATACCAAAATGAAACACCCTAACTCGGCCGGGTACTACTTGAACCGGCTCTGATACCAAAATGAAACATACCAGATGTTGACCAAAGAGCCCGGGCCACAGGACAAACCAAAAACAGATCAAACGAGAAAAGAGTGGTATACTTCAGCACAGTTCACATGCTTCGGGTGTAGTCTAGACATCGAAAGCAACAAAGGAATGTATTTCCTTGTTCGGATTGTTTTCCCTGTACGTTTTGTAATGAAGTTCTAGTTGATTACACTACAAGAAAATTGACTTTTAGCGGCTAAATTATGGTGGCAGATATTGTAAATGCCTCAAAATGTAAGCTATAGCGATAGATATAAAATTTGCCTCTAAAAGTTAAAAAAAACTATCGCTAATAATTTAAGTTTTTTTATATATTAATACTAATGAAAGTAAATTATTATAGATGTACTGCTCATTTATTTTTCTGATGTAGAGAATAAACCATTTAGATTTAGAGGCAAATAAAATAGTTGTTATTGTTTTTTTTTTTTAGAAAATGGGACGCTAAAAGGGCGCCCCTGGCTGATACTTAAATTATACGGGTTTGGGAAATTCCCAAAAATCATACAAAATCCAAAAGGACAGACCCGAGTCTGTACTCTCAAAAACATGGTAACCTATGCTAACAGAGTGACCTTTATTTGCAAGGAAGTCGGCCACTTTGTTTCCTTCTCTATAAATATGGGAAATTCTTACTTCCCAGTTTCGCTGAATCAGCCCTTGAAATTGAAGAACCAGGTTATGGTACTTGTGCACAGTCTGATCCTGGGCGGTAAGGATGTTGATGGCTGTAGTGGAGTCCAACTGTAGTAAGATTTTCATGTATCATTTCTCCCACGCCATTTGCAAACCTCGAATGGCTGCCATGATCTCTGCTCGGGTAATCGTGCAAACGCTAAGATTCTCCACAAAGGCTCCCAAACATTTCCCTGTCCAGTCTCGGACCAGGCCGCCCCCTGCAGCTTCCGAACCAGGTTGCTTTACAGACCCGTCGATATTTATACATATCCAATCCTGTGGTGGCGGTCTCCAGGCGAGCCACTGTTCTACCTTCTTTGGCGCCTCTTTAAGTGAAGCCGAGTCGTTATCCTGCGCTTGCCTGATTGTTGTCGTCCAGCTCTCGATGCGTTGCGCTAGGACATGATCATCTTGAATCAAGTTGTGGAAGACACTCTCATTCCTTCTTTTCTAAAGATACCAAGCTGTCACGCCAAAAAGAAGCCCTTCCTGATCCCTCTTGAGGTGTTCATCGAGCCAGGCTGAAAAACCAAGGCCATAAGTTAGAGCAGATTCCTTAATACCCAACCTGTGCCATACTTGTATGGAGTTTGGACACTGGCGCAGAATGTGCTCGGTGGTTTTCGGTCTGTTTCTGCAAGTCGGGCATGTGTCATCTTTTGTCACATTCCTCTTCTTGCGCTGCGCATTCGTCATCAGCCTGTCATGAAAAACCAACCACAAAAAATGATTAATCCTATTCGGTCCCGCCCATTTCCAGAGCCCCTTCCAGTTCTGGTGGTCAGGAGCCTCCTCCGCTTCACACTCCTCGTCACTCAGCCACTCCACTGCCGCGCCATAGGCTGACCGCAGCTTGAACTTTTCGTCTGGCTCCATCCCCCAAGCCGTAATGTCTTCACCCGTTCCTGGCATGGGCGGGTTTGTACCTGCAACCAGGGCAAATAATTTCCGAGTCAGGTGCGGCGAGAAATCCTGCTCGCTCAGGACCACACCCTCGGAAATCCATGGATCAGTCCAGAATTGGACATTATGGCCTGCCTGGATGTCCCACACAACCCGCTGCTTGAGAATAGGCCGGGTATCCACAATTCCTTTCCAAAGCCGCGAGTAATTGCTTTTTTTCATCACAAGAGCACCTGTTTCATTGACTTTAAAGTACTTCCCTTGCAGGATGGGGATCAACATCTCGTCCGACTTGTTCAGGAATGCCCACCCCAGTTTCATAAGGTAGGATATATTGAGAGCTCTAGCATAGCACAAGCCCAGGCCGCCATGCTCCTTTGGTTTGCAAATAGTCTCCCATTTGACCAAGTGAGTCTTGGAGACTCCGTCTTCAGCTCCCCAGATAAAGGCTCTGACTTTCCTATCAATGATGTCGTAGACAGAAATAGGGAGAACTGCCGTCTGCATGACATAGTTCGGAAGGGCGTTGAGCACCGACGTTGCCAAAGTGACTCTGCCTGCAAGGGATAGACTCCTCGCTTTCCACCCTGCAAGACATTGGTCAATCTTCTCCAAGATGAACTTGTAGGTATCTTTCGTGACTCTGCCATGGACTATAGGAACACCCAAGTAGCGCCCCAGGTTGTTGGTGTGCTTAATCCCCATCAAGTCACTTATCCTTCTCTTCAAGTTCTCCTTAGTGTTCTTGGAGAAGAAGACACAAGACTTGTCTTTGCTCACTTAATCCCCCGAGGCTTCACAGAACCGGTTAAGACATGTGAGGACTTCTTCACCCTGCTTTAGATCAGCCTCCGCAAACAGTACCAGATCATCTGCAAAAAATAGATGAGTAAGAGCAGGACCATCCTTAGACAGAGTAATAGGACTCCAGGCTTTCCTCTCTACAGAGTCCTTGATGCAGTGACTCAACCTTTCAATACATAAAGTAAAGAGATAAGGTGAAAGAGGACATCCCTGCCGAAGACCCCTAGTGGGTTGAAAAGACTCTGTGCATCCACCATCCCAAAGCACCTGGAAACGCACAGTCGTCACACAAGCCATGACAAGTTTGACGAAGTCATTTGGGAGACGGCCGCCTGAAGGGTTGATTCCAGGAACTTCCAATTGATTCTGTCGTACGCTTTGGCCATGTCAATTTTCAGAATCATTTGACTTTTGGCCCCCGTCCTGAGAGACATAGTGTGGACCACTTCCTGCAAGATGATGATGTTATCTGTGATATGTCTTTTCGGGACGAAGCTTGACTGGCTCGGGTCGATGAGCTGAGGCATGAATTTTTTGAGCCAGTTCGCTAGACACTTCGCCAGCACCTTATAGCTCACGTTACAAAGGCCGATGGGCCTGAACTGAGATACTTGCTTCGGAAAATCCACCTTGGGTAGCAACACCAAAAGGGTGTCATTGCACCTCTTGATACGATCCGGGCACCTGAACTGAGATACTTGCTTCGGAAAATCCACCTTGAGTAGCAACACCAAAAGGGTGTCATTGCACCTCTTGATACGATACTGTCACCTGAAACAGTCAACAATATGGTCATGGAAATCAATACCCACCCTGTCCCATCATTTCTGATAAAAGGTAGCATGAAAGCCATCCTTCCCCGGGGCCTTTAACCCTCCCATCTCCTTGATTATTTGATAAGTCTCCCCGGGGAGAGGGTTGGCAGCAAGATGCGACGTCATTGCACTGGTCAAGACATTGAAAAGAGTCGGGATGTCTTGCTGCCATGTGCTATCATCCGAGTATAGTCGGATATAAAACTCCCTGGCCATCCGTTTTAGCGTCTCCGGATCCTCCACCCATGCCCCATCCTCTTGCTACAATTTAGTAATTCTATTTTTCCTGCGCCTTGTGAGAGCAACAGTGTGAAAATATCGGGTATTCTTATCCCCATTCACAATCTGGTTGGCCCTCGCCTTTTGTAGCCAAAGGAGTTCTTCTTGCCATAGGTCTGCTCCAGTTCCTCCCAAATCTGCCGTTCTCTTCTTAGGGAAGCTTCACTAGCTGTCTGCTCGTTCTGAATTTCCAGGCGAGTAAGTTGCTTTGATAGTTTAGCTTTCCTCCAAAAAATGTTTCCAAACACCTCTTTGTTCCATCGAGTGAAATGCGCTTGAAGATCCTGCAAAGACAACAAAAAGTCCCTTCCTTGGTTCCACGCGACCTCAAGTACAGAGGGAAAATCCTTGTGAGCAAGCCACAGCACTAAGAACCGGAAAGGTCTTACCTGCCTAGGAGGGATGTGTTCAACTCCAAACAACAGCAAAGAGGTGCCAATTCAAAGGGAATACATCAAAGATTTTGAAGGAGTTGAGAGAGTAGTACGAGTATTTTACTACTAGGAAACAAGTGGATGATCTAATAAGCTAAGACAGACAAAGGAGAGAAATATGAATCTCCAAAGGAAGAGGAACAATCACCAGATGCAAGTAGCTATGATAACATGATGATGTTAGGGTCTTTGGTCCTAAGCAGTGGAAAGTGGGCAACGGGTCAAGAAACGAAGAGCTACCCCGAGAAGTCCCGTAGCTAGTATTTGTGGTCGATGGCTCAACGCCATTACAACACAGTGACAAGGAGCAGAGGAATGTTTAGACTTTAAGAAATGCTAGGGTAGTATAAAGGAAACGAAGGAGGAAATAAGTAGGTTATAAGGAGTATGAAAGGACGTCAAGAAGTCAATAAGTCAAGGGGAAGATGAGGCATGGTCATTTAAATATGACGACAAAGGAACCCTTACACATAAAATACGTCACTACAAAAGAGGGTACATGACCCTGGGGAGTTAGGCTGGTAGCAAGCCTTTAAAAGGAACAAGACAAGTGTCAAGATGAACGAGGTAGAGAACGAGCTTGGATCAAGAATAACAAGGTGCTAGTGAACAATGTCGAGCTAGAAAGAAGATGTATTGGGATATGAGAGACCCTACAAACTACCCAGATCACAAAAGGTCAGGAGGTCGTTGAGACCATTGAAAGGGGAATGCAAGAGTTCACGATGATCTGTTACGGGATTGTCCTCTCTTAAATAGAGGGAACACCTAGCCTCCTAGGGTACATGAGGGGTGACAGAAGGAGGAACCTCTCTACTAAGTTGGAGCTAGAGGGATAAGAGCTGAGGTCTCAGAACTAGCTATAGAGTAAGTCATTAAGCCAACCGAGTATAGACAAGTAAGTGGAATGTTCAATAAATGTTCTAGTGAATGGCAGAGAATTCGAGGAAACACGTGGAAGTTCCGATGAAGGATTGAGAATATGTGTAGGTTACTCGTGTTCAAGAAAATGCATAGTGGAGTACGAAGAGGAAAAGCATTACCAAGAAGGAGGAAATCATTAAGTTACCTTACCCAAGGTGCCCCACTCATAGTGAGTACGACATAGTAGGATGTCATTCATAAAAGAAGGACAGTTAAGGATAAATTAGTGATATTTAGTTAAGCCACTAAGAGCCATGACTAAGAGATTAAGGCTATGTACAAGCATCAGTTGAGATAAATGACGTGAATGAGGTATGTTAAAACCTACCCAAGAAAATCCTCTATTGGAAGCTTTAACCCTAACAATAACGAGAAGATACTCAACGGAGTTTGGTGACCAAATATAGTACAAAGCAACAACGGAAGAGTAGTAAAAGTAAAGAAGCAAGGCGAACACCATAGGACGTTATAGAAACAAAACGGTGTTCGTCGACAGGGCGATGTATGCGTCAAAGAAGATAGCTATGACGGGCCAAAGCAGGAGTACAACAGACAACAAGAAAGCATTAGGTTGAGTACCAGTAGAGAACAATCAATCCATAGGAAGTCCATCAAGAAAGTAAGATGGAATCGTGGTCTCTAAGACTAGTCAAAGAGAGAACCTTATAAGTCAAGGACTCAAGGTACATTAGTAAGAAGAGAATATGAGAACCTAGATGACTATATCGAGAATAAAGGACGTCATCTAGAACTAGCGAGTAATATCAAGAAGAAGAGTCACGAGTAACGAAGTAAGAAGGATATAAGTTTAGTGAACCTACTAGAATACCCAAAAGTGAAACCAAGATCGCCTATGCTGATGAAAGGTGTCAATCTCTCAGGTAAAACTCTATTGGATGGAGAAACTGTACGAGGAATTTCAGCT